TAGCGTCCCTGCCCCTGCCTGGCAGAGTGTGAGGGACTCACAGGGATGTTAGCCGCTACGTAAGCTTCCGCCTGCCCACAGTGGAGGGCAATCACAGAGATGTTATCAGCAGTAGCATCCTGCCTCCACATAGTGTGAGGATCAACAGAGATGTTTACAGGCAGTAGCTCTTGCTCCCACAGTGTGAGGGGAATCAAGAGATGCTCAGCAGCCAGTAGCTACATGCCTTTCCGCACCGCGGGCAGCAACGACTGGTTCTATAGCACCGTGTGAGGGAATCACCACAGAGATGAGAAATTTTACCAAGTCATAACGTAACGGCCTACCTTTTCCCTCGCCGTTTGACCACAAGTTGAGGGAATAACAGCAGGAAAGTAAGTGTACTTACAGCTATGTAGGCAATTACCCTTGCCTCTCCTCACGCTGGGAGGAGAATCACAGAGATTGTTAGCAGCCAGTAGCTCCTGTCCCTAGCTCCCACTCAGGTTTTGTAAGGGAATCACAGAGATGTTGTTGTATCGCAGCGAGTGTAGCTTCCCTTGCCTCCACTAGTGTGAGGGAAACTCATACACGGAGACGTGATTTACAGCCAGTACGTCCCCTGCCTCCCAAAGGGGGTGAGGATACAGGATGTTACGAGCCAGTAGCTCCTGGCCCCCACCAGTGTGGAGCGGATATCCACAGAGATGCTTACCGTCTGCCCACGTAGCTTCCGCTCTGACCTCACCACTATGTGGTTGAGGGAAGCAACAGTAAGATGTTACCGCCTAGGTAGCTCCTTCTTGTTCCCACCAGTGTTGGAGCGGAATGCGCAGCAGGATGGATGTTTACGAGGTTTGCGGACCAGTAGATCCAATGTCCCCCAGCTGGGAAGGAGATGATGTTTATCTTGTACAGTAGAGCATTACCGCTAGGCCTTTCACCACAGTGTGAGGGACCCTGCACAGAGATGCTTCACAGCCCAGTAGGCTCGCCCTGCCCTCTGCACAGTGTGAGGGAATCACAAGGAGGAATTCGGTACAGATGGTGCCGACGTACGCTGCCCCTCGGCGTGAGCCAAGTAGTGCAGAGGAAATCGACAGGAGATGCGTAAATACCACGCGCCGTACCCCTGCCTCCCACAGTGTGAGGGAATCACAGAGATGTTACAGCCAGTAGCTCCCTGCCTCCCACAGTGTGAGGGAATCACAGAGATGTTACAGCCAGTAGCTCCCTGCCTCCCACAGTGTGGTGATATCATCAGCAGATGTACCGCCGTAGCTGCTGCCTCCCACAGTGTGAGGGAATCACAGAGATGTTACAGCCAGTAGCTCCCTGCCTCCACATTTGAGGAAATCCAGAGATGTTTAAGGCCAGTAGCTGCCTGCCTCCCGCAGTTGTGAGGGAATCAGCAAGAGATGTTACAGCCAGAGCTCCCTGCCCTCTTCACAGTGTGAGGGAATCACCGATGATTTGACAGCAGTAGCTCTTATCGTCTCTCTCTCTTTCCCTCTCTCTCTCCTCTCCCGTTACAGCCAGTAGCTCTCTCTTCTCTCTCTTTGCTTCTCTCTCTCCTCCTCTCTCTCTCTCTCTCTCTTCTCCTCTCTTTCTCTCTCTCTCTCTCCCTCTGTCCCTCTCGCTCTTCCTCTTCTCCTCTCTCTCCTCCTCGTCTCGTCTATATCTTCTCTCTCTCTTTCTTCGATAGTCCCGAGGAAATCACAGACTGAGATGCTGCCCCCTATAACTCTCTCTCTCTTTCTTCCATTGTCCCGAGGAAATCACAGAGATGCCCCCTGTAGCTCTCTCTCTCTCTCTCTCTCTCTCTTTCTTCCATTGTCTCGGGGAAATCACTGGCTTGGCGGGCAATAACTTTCTGTCTGCTATTGTCCCGGGGAAGTCGTTCCAGGCGAGGCGGACCATTGTCGGCTGTGCTTCCGCTACTTGGCGAACGTGACAGCGTCAATGTGCGAGGCTGCCGGGAGCGAGAGTAGTGCAGCATAGAGCTGTCAACCACATCCGTGGCGTCGTAGCTGTGTGAATAGAGCAGGGTTTCCCACCAGCCTCTAGCGCACCAAGATCGATCGCTGATTCCTGGCGCGGGTTTTTCTCTCCTGCCCACTCAGTGTAAGATTGTGCAGGTTTAACTTAGTAGCTTGGTTAGTCGCGTGTGAGCCAGGAAAAAGACATGATATATACATAAAAGCCTTGGGTATGTTACCGCAAGCCACTTGCGGACTGATTGGAGCCGTTGCTAATGAGAAGATGATATGAAAGGAGTTTCGTATGACGTCATACAATCAGGAGTGTATAATATAGATCCACTATACTGACTATATTGATACAATGACAAGCATAGTGTCAGCGCTGCAGAATGACGCGTTGCAAGAGCTTTCCGTTGTGTATGTAAGATTCAGCGGTGCATACGCAATTAATGCAGATGCCGCGGCAGACCGTGTGGTTACTCACATGGCAATTTTGGGCCAAATACCGAAATAAATGTAAGAATAGGTTCTGTGTTCGTCACATGTTCATAACGTGTGTGTACCTGGGTACGTGCGTGCGTGCATGCGTGCGTGCGTACGGGCGTGCGTGCGTGCGTGCGTGCGTGCGTTAGTACGTGCTTGCGCGTTTATGTGTGCGCGCGTGCGTGAGTGACTACGTGCGTGCGTGCGTGCGTGCGTGAGTACGTGCGTGCGTACGTGCGTGCGTGAGTACGTGCGTGCGTACGTGCGTGCGTGAGTATACGTGCGTGCGTGCGTGCGTGCGAGCGTGCGTGAGTACGTCCTTGCGTGTTTGTGTGTGCGTGCGTGCGTACGTGCGTGCGTGAGTACGTGCGTGCGTGAGTACGTGCGTGCGTGAGTACGTGCGTGCGTGTGGGAGTACGTGCGTGCGTGCGTGCGTGAGTATATGCGTGCGTGAGTACGTGCTTGCGTGTTTGTATGTGCGTGCGTGCGTGCGTGCGTACGTGCGTGCGTACGTGCGTGCGTGCGTGAGTACGTGCGTACGTGCGTACGTGCGTGAGTACGTGCGTGTGTGCGTACGTGAGTACGTGCGTGCGTGCGTGCGTGCGTGCATGCGTGCGTGCGTGCGTACGTGCTTGCGTGTTTGTGTGGGCGTGTGCGCGCATGCATGCGTGTGTCCACCTACACGCATGCGTGTGTCCACCTACACGCATGGGTGTGTCCACCTACACGCATGCGTGTGTCCACATACATGCACGCGTGTGTCCACCTACATGCATGCGTGTGTCCACATACATGCACGCGTGTGTCCACCTAGTACACGCATGCGTGTGTCCACCTACATGCATGCGTGTGTCCACCTACATGCATGCGTGTGTCCACCTACATGCATGCGTGTGTCCACCTACATGCATGCGTGTGTCCACCTACACGCATGCGTGTGTCCACCTACATGCATGCGTGTGTCCACCTACATGCATGCGTGTGGATGGGAATGAATCGTGGCGTGCTCCCGACTGCTGCGGCAGGATTTCACCTTCGGTACACTAATGGTACGTCGCGACGCTAAGGCGAGCTATAGGATGACTCGACCATATAGGCGATTACTGACATATAGCCTGCGTACACGCACACGCACGCACACCCGCACATACACGCACACAGATATACACGCACGCACGCACGCACACAGATATATACGCATACACGCACACACGCACACAGATATACACGCACGCACGCACGCACGCACGCACGCACGCACGCACGCACGCACGCACGCACAAACGCACACAGATATACACCAAGAGCTCATAATAGAGTTTCTCTTGATAGAGAGAATTATTAGAGAGAACTCTATTATGAACTCTTGATATACACGCATACACACACACACATACACACACACACACACACACACACACACACACACACACACACACACACACACACACACACACACACACACACACAC